CCCCCCCCCCCCTCTCCCCTAGATTTCAAACGTATGCACCTGATTACGATCCTCTGGATCTACAGCCCCAGCACACTAGCCGAATCTGGAATTGATCTGAAGGGCTTGGGGTTTTGAGCGGTTAAGGCTTTAGGGTCGAGGGACAAGTGCCAGGGGTTTCTGAATCCTCAGCCCGAAACCTTAGCCCCAAGTGCCCTAAACCCTAAAACCCTAAANNCCTAAACCCCTAAACTCCTAAACCTTTAAACCCTTAAACCCTTAAACCCCTAAACCCCAAGCCCCCAAAACCCTAAATCCGACGCTAAACCCTAAATCCTAAGCCCCTAAACCCTAAACCCCTAAACCCTAAACCCCTAAACCCTAAACCCTAAACCCCTAAGCCCCTAAACCCTAAACCCTAAACCCTACCGAGGCCACGGTTTTCAGGAGGCCCCCCTGCTTTTTGCAGTGGGTATACTACCTAGACTCGGACCCTTAAGTGTAGTCCCCTTTTTTGGTTCACCTATTTTATGGTTAGGATCCTATAATAAGAAACTGAGGTAACCCAAGACAGGTACCAGATTTTAGGGTCTAGGTCTAGTGATAATCAGGAGCGAACAAGGAGGCTTGCTTGATCCCAAGCCTTGCGAAGCTTCACCTGTCCGGCTGAGGTTCCCGACAACCTGTGCCAAGATTCCTACGTCGTGGACGATTCGGGGAATGGGATGCATTGTGCCCCGGACGAAACCCTAAACAGTTGGGGCTAAGCTGTTAGTCGAGTCTGTAGGATTTATGATTTAGGATTTAGGTCTAGGACATTTTTCAGGTGGGTAGTTTCCGTTATAGGAGCCTTATGGAAGCTCTACGTACCTTCCTGAAGTCGTATAGAAGCCCTATATACCCTAAGCCCTAAACTCCCCACCTGTAGTTTCCTTTAATTTAGGGTTCAAGGTTGGGGTTTTGAGCGTTCAGCTTTGAGGTAAAGTCCCAAGGAAGGTGGCCCTAAGCACTCCCAAAGGCTCCATGTACCTTTATGGTACATACTTAGGCCTTAAAGGGGTCCCTATATAGGTACTTTAAGGCCTAAGTCTGTACTATATGGAGCCTTAGGGACTGGACCCTCTAGACCACCTGACTACCCCATACAGTTGGAGCCCTTGTACTTGTAGAAAGACGAGGCCTTTGTTTTAGGGTTTAGGGTTTAGGGTTTAGGGTTTAGGGTTTAGGTGTACTTGTAGAAAGACGAGGCCTTATGTGAGAGCTGCTTCGAGCAAACGTGGACGCTGAATCATCTGCCTCCGTTGGAGGTTTGTACTGGTTAATGTCGGGGCCTTAATCATTACCTATACTATTTTGGGGGTTTATTATTATACTTAAAGTATAAGATAGCGCCAAAACCCTGTTCTAATTACTAAGACCCCTCTGCTAGACGTCCGTGTTTGTCCGAGGGATCTAGAGTGTACATATCGTTGACGGACAAACTCCTGCAGCAATGTAGGGCCGTCATAATTAGAATAGGATTTCGGGGGTTCCTTATCATAACTATAAACCCTATTCTAATTATTAAGTTCTCCAAGCCTTCGAAACTCCTTACACAAAAACTGATCTTCTGATTCGGGCTTGAGGATGCAGGGCTTTGGACCCTGAACCCAACCCTACCGGACGCGGGCCTTAAGGGTTTGGGGTTTAATTTTTAGGGTTTAGGGTTTAGGGCACCGGCTGATGTTGTCTGGGGATCCCTAAACCCTAAACCCTAAACCCTAAACCCTAAACCTTAAACCTTAAACCCTAAACCCTAAACCCCTAAACTTCTCAGGGGTCCGGCCTCATTCTCCGAATTCCAAACCCCAAGCCCACATCCCAAAAAAGTCGGTAGCTTGGTTCCGCAGGAGTACCCTGTTGGCACGTTTTCTTTATGGGCTCCCTTACTAACGCCCAAATACTTGTAGTCGGAAAAAAGGATCTGACAATTAAGGGGGCCACTGCGGAACCTAGGTGTCTCAGGGTGTTGGGGTTTGTTAGGTTTTAGTCTTTCAGGGTGTCGGCTCCAGGGTCAACGAACTCTAGCACAGTAACTTCTAAAGCCTCGTAGGGAACCAGCCCTAGACCCTGAACCCTGAAACCTAATTCCTAAACTGGGTTTAGGGTTTAGGGTTCAGGGTTTAGGCCCTAAGCCCTAAAGCCTCAAGAGGCCCGTAAAGAGTCCCATCACAGCTTGCCCGCAAACGCAGTCTATGTTTTTCCGACAGTCGACAACTCAATCCCTATAAACCCAAACCGCTACAGCCTGAACCCTAGTCGCTACATCCTCAGTCACGAAGCTCGCAACTGCATCGGCATAATATCCACAATTGTTACTTGGGGATCCCGGGTATAACTTGATAGTTACGCTATATATATATATATATATGTATACACACACCCCAAAGCCCTGTGACAATCACAGGGGCCTCCTGGAAACAGTAGGCTGTTTGAACCTCAGGACAAGGACAACCCAAATATATGTGCTTTATTTCTTAGAATAGGGTATTGGGGGGTTCCTATTATAACATAGTTTATAATGTACCCCAAACCCTACTCTAATTATTAAGGCCTAAACCCTAAACCCTAAACCCTAAACCCTAAACCCTAAACCCTAAACCCTAAACCCTAAACCCTAAACCTATCATAGATCCCTTATAGAACCTTTTAAGGACCCCTTTAGAGGAACCCTAATCTTATTTTTACGGCCCCTAAAACGGCAAAACAAACCCTTATTTATAGTCGCTCGTGTGGAACCCTTTAAGGAACCCTTTAAAGGACCCTATAGTATGACATTATCCCTAAACCCTAAACCCTAAACCCCTAAACCCCTAAACCCCTAAACCCTAAACCTAAACCCTATTATGATACAATTACATTACGTCCACCAAGCCTCCCAGAACTCCCAAACACGGCTGTGTGTCGAGGCATGCTCAAGGCGAAGGATGCCCCAGCCTTGGTCCAGCTGCTCTTTTAGGGTTTAGGGGCTTCGGGGTTTAGGGTTCAGGGGTTTAGGGGTTTAGGGGTTTAGGGTTTAGGGTTTGTTGCATTCTTCTGATTGATTTCCAGCACTGTGGTGACCATTATTGTTGTCAACGTTGCTATACAGCTTTAGTGGCATGAACATTATTACTACGAGTGTGTTGGTTCTGTTGGGGGCGTGGTGGTTGTTGTTCTATAAGGCTTACTTCCCATGTCTTTGAAGTTCTAAAAAACCCTATAAAACCCTGAACCCTATAAACTCCATAAGCTCCGTGATCCCCGTGGGTTTTTGAGGCTTTGTAGAGAGTTTCGCCCGAAGCTCGAAACCCTAAGACTTAGGTCGCATGGTTTGGGGTTAGGGGTTTTAGGGTTTTAGGGTTTTATGGTTTTAGGGTTTTAGGGTTTAGGGTTTAGGGTTTAGGGTTTAGGGTTTAGGGTTTGGGGTTTGGGTTTGGGGTTTTAGGGT